TCTCTCCCTCTCCCTCTCCGTCTCCCTCTCCCTCTCTCCCTCTCTCCCTCTCCCTCCCCCCTCTCTCAACAGTGAGTTGCTCCCCTTCCCCTTCTTCTCTCAGCACGTGCTGCCTGACTCCTCTCAGTACCCCCTTTCTCCTTCAGATTCCATTGCGCTACCCCAGCGTCTTCTTCTTTTTCGTCAATTTTGTTGTTTGGCTGATGCTGTCCCCGCCTTTCTGTTGTGAATTTGGCTCTTCTGGTCTGTGATGACATCCTTTGACCTCCTTGACGTGTGTTGCATTCAAGCTTCTTGATAACCAGATCTTGTAGTTGTAGTACATACCCCCAGGTTTTCTGCGCCTTCCTTCAATCGTTTGATTGCTCAATAGAGCTGCACTTGCAGTATAGGACAAGCTTAGATAACCCCACAGTGAACGAGTCTTAGGCCTTGCCGCCTTCTCACTATATCCAACACTGATATATGGAAGCTGAAGTATTTTAATACAGGCGTGTTGGCCCAACGAAACAGTCTTGATCGAGACAACAATCGAATTCAAGATAGTCTGGCAGATCTTGTGATGGTCGTATCTGCTTCCAGCAACATGTTGTGCAACGAGTGTGCAGACCAAGACCCGGCGGAGCATTACTGTTTGGACTGCGAGAGCTTCTTCTGCATCGACTGCCACACTCACCACAAGAGGAGCAAGCGTACTGCGCACCATTCAACTATTACAGTCGAGGAATTTCACAAGCAAAAGGAGAATGTCGGCAATGAGGACGACGCTGTTGACTATGTAGACGTGTGGCCAATTGACGTCCCTCAAGCACCAAGATCGAGCAGAAGCGATGCCTCTGAAATCGTTGCTGCTGTCGACCATCCCTCTTCTCGAAACTTACAGGAATCATTCTCCGCCTCCTACTCTCCTGCATCTCGTGCCTCCTACCCTCCAGCAACCCCTGCCTCCTGTCCGTCAACATCTCCAGAGACACCTATCGGGAATGTGCAGCAACCTGAATCGAAAGCGAACGTTGACACGAATCAAAGACATCTGATGCTTTGGAGCAAAGATTTGTACGCCCATTCTGTGCTGAATTTCCTTGAAGTGTGACGTCTCTGCAGAACTCGACAATACTTGCCAAACTGGAGACCAGCCAACCTCGAGGAAGCAGAAAATGGAAAAGACGAAGGCTGGCTTGGGATTGAGTTCAAGAACCGGAAAGATGGTTATCTGGTCATCTCCAGGATTATTGAAGGAGGTGCAGTGACATGATTCTGTTGAAAAGCTTGTTTTGATCGAGTGCGACAGGTCCTGCCGACAACTCTCGAGCAATCTTGGCTGGAGATATTTTGTACGCCATATCAGATACGCCGGTTCGCAATCTGGTATGCAAACGGCTGTTTTTCAGGGAGCTCTAACAACAACAACGCAGCCAAGTGAAAAGCTGCTTGCATTGACTAAAGGGAAAGCTGGAACAACGATCCACCTCACAGTGGGATGTGAGATGTCAGGCCCGAACGAATACGTTCAGAGCCATACCCTTGCTTCAGGAGAAGAAGTCAGGGTTCAGAGGTAAGTGAATGCTTGTTGTCACAAAGTAGTCCTCAACCGGAACCAGAGTCAAGAGGAGAGAAGCGAGACGCGAGACTCCGAGCCCTTCCTCTAAGTATGAAGTGGAGGAAGACCTGTTCATCCCGTCAAGCCTGCGATCCTTTACCTTCCTTTCACCTTCGCCCTGTCTGGATCCCTATTACAAGTTTGACATAAGCCAGGTGGAGGTTTCCTAAGGACGTTTGCTTGCTTTCTAACCCCGTGGCAGGAAATCACGGAAGAAACTGCGTCGGTGATAGACGAAGATACGGAGGAGTCTATCAGTGAAGGCATCACACCTCGCCGAGTGGACAGGTACCATCAGGTTCTACCCTCCTCATCTCTGACCTCTAGCCGCAGCCCCTGCTCCTCGGATGCCAAATCCACCTCCACTACAGTCAGCTCTAGCCAGGGCCTTGAGCAGGCCTGGTCATCCAAATTTGTCCTAAGAAGCGACGCCTCGACTCCTGCTTCCGCCATGTCCGCCATCTCTACCCCAAGAGCCCACGGAGATTTGGATGGCTAGCAAGGGCAAGGAGCGTCGAAGTTTTAATGTAATGTATTCCTTCCTTTCGCACTACTCGAGCATGTCGCCCTCCCGCCCAACATACTCGGCAATGGAGTCCATGGGTACGGCCTCCACCTACAGCCCAGCAGGCGTCACAATACAATCACGGTGTTAACTTTTGGATGATTATGAGCTTGCCTGCATGCTGCTCATTAGCTGGACATTTGCGATCTGTCATGCCAGCTGATGGTCAGCTGAGAGGTAAGAGCGAGAGCTGCGACCTCTCGGTCCTTGTCCTTGGCGAGAAGCTTTCCTCGTTGTCCCTTGAACTTCCTGTGACACAAGACACTGGGGATCAGCTCCGAGATAGCCCCAACGCCTCGCACCCGCTGACGAACAGGACGTAACCTCCGGTCTTGGGAAGCACCGTCTCAAGCATCTGCCACGTCCTCTCAGGCAAGGGAGCACGCCAACCACAAGCACCTTGTAGGTCACGTCTTCCACCATCCGTCTTCATGCTCGTTAGCGATGTTCCATCCAAAGGCAAGAGAGATAGACCGAGGGCAAGAAAAGAGACGAGAAAGGGAGGAATTGAGGGAGGATGCCTTCACGAGGAGCACCAACAAAGGGAGGAGGACAGGGAATAGAGATATGGAAGATTGCTATGCGAGGAAAGCACGAGTATCGAAAGAATCTTGTGGCAAGAAAGGAAAAGAGCCTGACCTGTCGTCATCCATCATGATTGTGCAGACTCCCCTGGATACAACGTCGAGTACACTGCAGACAAGGTGAGAGCAAGAGAGGGATAAGACCAGACACACGTAGCTTTCTTGAGATAGTACTTGCCAGCCTGAAGGAAGAATCAAGAGGTCAGGATAGGCAAAAAGGAGGAGGGAGAGACGTCAAGAAGCTGGATAGGCAGCGAGGAAACTGGAAAGAGTGGGAGGATGGGGATTGGCATAGGACGATTGTAGGAGCAGAAACCTTGACTTTCTTGTCAATAACTCGCACTCTGATATGAGGCCTCAGCCAGTCAACATCCTCCGTCTTGCCGTGATGATGCTCGTCGCTCTTACGGCGATCATGATGACCCGAGGGCTTGTGTCTTCACTCCGTGTCAGCTTCGCTCACTTCTCCTCCTCCTTCACCTTCTTTCCTCCTCCCTCTGGCCCTTTTGTTTCTCCTTTTCCTTCCTCTCCTTCTCTCTTTGGGCAGCCTGACCTCACTGTCTCAGCAGAGTATGGCAGTACCGCAGAGTTGAAAGAGACACGACAAAGGAGCATAGTATCGCGGGGGGCATGAGAGGGACGGAGCTCGTTCCCCACCTTCTCCTGCTCTTGCTTTCGGATCTCGACGGCCTAGTCACAAGAGCATCAAATAAAGTCACTTGGACTTGAGCTTTTCTCCCCCTCCTCACCTTTGAGATGTCTCGATCCAGATCTTTCTTGTCCACAGTCACCTCCTCCTCGCTAGCCTGCCATCATTGGTTATGAGGCTCTCGATTGACCGTCTCCTCCGGCCTGACCTCCAGCCGGACCATGATCTCATGTGCATACATGTAGGATATCTTGCCGACCATCCCCCTGCCAGTCACCTTCAGTTCTTCCCCCTCCCCTCCCCTCCTTCCATCCTTGTCCACGTCCCACTTAGAGCTCGTCTTCCTGTTCTTCGCATTCTGCATCTCACCTGTGTCTTCCTCCTATGATCCCAACCTGTCGATGAAGACAAGTCAGCTAACGAATTCATTCTTCCTCCTCCAATAATTGACCCTCCACCTTCCTCTCCTTCCCTGCCCTGCGCATGATCTGAGACTGAAATTCACCTTGGTTCCTACTGTAAGAGTACCCATCCTCTCCGCCGCCTCTTTGCGAATGCGCTCTGACAAGAATCTCAACTTGTAGGAGGCAGCGAGGAAGAACGAGAGGGAAGGAGAGGACAGGGGAGGAGATGAGAGAAGGGAGGAGCAAGAGGATAGGAAACCTCTTTCAACTTCTCGGTAATCCTTCTCTTCTCCTGGCTTCGGGATGTACCTTGACTACCATCAGCGCACCTGCTCCTTGTTCCTCTTCTCCTCAGCCGCACCTGCGACTTCCACGGTCTCTCTCTGGGCTCTTTTCCTTTGGAACGGCTCCGAGTCCAAGCCCGTCGGGCTGATGCTTGTCAGAGAGAGCAGAGGAGGGGGAGGAGGCGGAGGCAGAAGAAGAGCGGGTGAATAAGGACGAGAGAGTTTCACCTGGGCACGAATCTCGATAGGTTCGATGATCCCTTTCCGGCTCCCTCCTAGGGCGTCTCCATCCTATACGAATTTGCTAAGGAGATGGTGGCGGTGGAGCAGGGGCAGGGGCAGGGGCAGGAGCAGGGGGAGGAGGAGGAGGAGGAGGAGGAGGAGGAGGAGGAGGAGGAGGAGCAGGAGTGTACAAGAAGGAGATACCTTCCATCCCATGCCGCGCATCAAAGCCATACCAAACTCAGAGATGGGCATACTTTCATAGTCGTCCAGCTGCAAGCTCGTCAATAATGGAAGGTAGAGGGAGAGCAGAGAGAAAAGTAGGAAGGAGGGAGAGAGGAGGGAGAGCAAGTGTTGGGATCCGAGAAAGAGACGCACGACCTACCTTGACCTCCTCCCCGCATTGCGTGAGATCTTCTTTCAACGCCTGCAGGGGAGAAGGAGAAAAATCAGAAAAGAGTCAAGGGAAGGGAGGCGTGTCATAGAGAGGCTCCTGTCTCATACACTTACCGCGTCCTCAGACACGACACGACTAGAACGATTCCCCTGTGCGCTTCATGAGCGATGGCGGGTTTTCAGCAGAAGGCAGGGAGAGGAGGGAGGAGGAAGGAGGAAGGAAGAAGGCGGAGGGAGGAAGGAGGAAGGGAGAAGATCAGCGGTGGGGAGGGAAAGGAGAGGAGAAAGTAAGAATGGATAGAGAGAGGCGAAGGAAGGAACAGAGGACCGTTGGGATTGTCAGGCCAAGAGTCATCTCCTCCTCTGGGTTCTCCTGCAGCAGCGTCATGTTCCACCGCTCTCCCGTTCCATCCACCTTCTTCATATCCACCGCTTCCTTCAGCAGCGCTCGTTTCGCCTTCTCTTCTGTGCTAAGATTCTCGTCGTTGATCGAAACTGATGAAGTGATGAGAAGCCGCACACATAATTTTCTCCTCCTCTACCACTCTCCTCCTCCTCTGCTGCTGCCACTGCTTCCCCTGAACGCATTCACCACTTCTCCTCGTCTCAAGCCCTCTCTATCCTGAATTCAACGATCCAGTCCCCCTGTCCTCCTTTCCCCCATCCTTTCGTCCTGCACACGGTTCCTTGACCTCGTCCTACTTCTCTTGCATGCAGAACCCTTCCACCCCCTCCTGACCACCACCAACTCTATCAAACACTCACAGTTCTCTTGCTCCTCTTGCTTAACAACGGTCTCCCCCTGAGGAAGGGTCGCAATGCTTCCTCCCTTCTTGTAAACATCCATGATTAGCTCCGCGTTCGACTCCTGCCAAACTTTCTCATCCTCCAACAATTCTCGTCCATCTTCCCACCTTCCCGAGCCTTCCACGGTGCCAGGCCTTTCCTTCCTTCATCGGGATGACCTTGATGCTCACTCGTCACGCCTTGCCGTGGCTTCATGTTCTATACCTTCGCCTTCTTATCCTTACCATCCTCCAGCTCTCTGCTCAACAACGTCAACGAATGCTGAGGATAGAGTCATCGACTGCCACCTAATGTCTGTCTTGGAAGACTTTTCATTCTTGTCCCCATCGTCGTCGACCTGGAAGATAGCTGAAGACAAGTTCAACTCCCGTCCATGGCAACACACGACCAACCAGAGTCCTGAGCAAGGCGCTTCTTGTTCGAAGACAAGCTCAGGGAGATCCCTGATGGAGCAGCTCAACCACAACCATCATTCAACAGCTTGACAGACCTTTGCTTTCTCCTCCTGCCTGTTGGCCTGCAAGGAAAATCGGATTTCAGTCTTGAACTCTAGCCATTTGCTCCGCCTGGTGGATTACAATAGCTGGTCTGCTGACTCTCGGCAGCCTTCCTGCCTCAACTCTTCTCCCTCCTCCCATCGTTCTTCTATCCTGCATGTCTGCCGTCCTCCTTCCTCCTCCATTCTTCTCTTCTCCTCGCAACCCCGCGCCCTCACCTTCCTGCGCCGCCATCCCAGTTATGCAGGGTGAGGAAAGGGGACTTGAGAAATATTTGTAACGTCCAGTAACGGAAGAGTTTTTTGTTCGGTCTACCAGTTTTCGCGGCATCATCTTTTTGAAAATCTTGCAAGGGCCATGACCGGTTCAATTCACATGTATTAAGGGGGTGATAGGGTAGTCAAGCATTGCCGAGCAAGGACCACCGGTACCAAAATTTGTGAATAGTACGGGTGATTAGCAGAGGGTCTAACTAAAGATTGAGGCGCAATGCTGGGCAAGAAAACTCGCGATGGTCAGTGAGATATCCAACAAACTTGCTCCTGCCTCCTCCTGCCTCCTGCCTCCTCCTCTCTCTACTACTACTTTGAACATCTCCCCTCCCTTCTGCTCCCCTCCCTCCCTCTTCTCCCCTCACTTGCCATGCCCTCTCCTCCAGTTGTCCCCTCATCTCTCCCTCAATGTTGCCATCCTCATACATACCATCACATCCAATACCGCTCCTCTGCTTCTCATCTCCGCTTCCTTACCTTGAGCATTCCACATCTGAATACCTTCGCCTCTCCTTGTACACCTCCTCCATCCCCTCCAAGGTTCTTGAGGTCACGCCATTGAGTTGCATGAGCAGCGGCGTTGGGGTTCGGCTGTTCCCTCGGGTTTCTTCTTTTCGTCTTCAAGTTCAACGAGATTGTGCAGGTGACAAACTTGCGATATCTAATCTCCTTCTCACATGTTGTAGGAGTACAAGGCCAGGAAGCGAATACGGAAGAACATCGTCGTCGGTGCTTCTTCAGCCTCGGCTAAACCTGCATTTTAATGGGTTGTACAGAGCCAGGGCTGCATCGCACGTTGATGAGGATCTTCAAGAAGGTCGAACATGTTTACAAGGCCTGAGACATGTTGAGTGAGAATGGCAGGCCTGCAGCAAGCGGGAGGTCGGGACAGGTAGCAGCCAGCGTCATGTCAGACATCTTTGTAACCTCTACCAGTGATTATGCTCTGCACCAGTCTTCTTTTGCGAACTATGGGATCCGTGAGTCTCGCGCATGTCATGTTCTGTCTTTCTGCTGAGTTGAACCGCATCAGGTCTGGGTCGCTCGGCACTGGGGAAAGATGGTCAAAATGCTGGTGAGAGAAGGAGGATGAGAGCGAGAAGATGCTGAACGATGTGACAGGTCACGAGGAACTTTCGAGATATGCAGGTGTCTCACAATGACATGAATCCGCGCTGAGTCTGACGCGACATCAGCGTTTGGTCGTTCAGTTTGCGGGAACATCTGTCTTCCTATCGGTGACCTTGCTGGTGTCTTGTTTTGGTTTTGAGCTCATGCGAACAGATCTTGAACGCTCTGTTGAAATATTACATCGCCAAGCTGCGTGAGGAGGTTTTGAGGTCTTGTTCTGTTGACTTCTAGTCATCTCTGCTGTCAGGTGCGCGAGAAAATTACTTTATGGTGTCACGACAAGTACATGAGGAAGGTGAGGGACAGGACAGTGAAAGATATTCGATGAGATGATGATAATGAGGATGACGATGACGATGATGCAGAATGATATGATCTTCTACAAAGCAAACAAGGTTGGAGATGATAAGATTGAGCATTGCGACCATCAGGTAAGATCGGCGCTACTTTCAGATGATTCTATGACACTGCTGCAATACTAGATTACATCAGACGTCGACAAGTTCTCAGAGATGTTTTCTCAGGTTTTTCCTTGCTGATCTTTCAATTTTTGACCCTCTCTGATACTCATACCATTACTGATACGGATGCGCATGCTTGTTTCACACCATAACCCAACTCACATCCGGTTTCAGGTGTTGTCGCAATCTCTCAAGCCGATTGTCGACTTCATCGTCTACAGTGTTGACTTGAGGTCAATTCTATTCCCCTCCACCTCTCCTCTCTTTCTTGACCTCTTTCACTCCCTCCCCCTCTCCTCCTCCCCCTCCTCTTCCTTGTGTCTTCCTTTTGGTAGCGACTCATGAGCTCTCCTGCCAGTCGAGTTCAGGGACTAACCACTCCTCTCACCCTCTACGGCTGGTTCGCCATCGCCTCCTGCATCTCCACCGTCTCTCTCGTGAGTTTCACTTGGCCACCAGCGACGAGGCAACTCAAGACTTGGCAGCCTCCCTACGGCGAGCTCGCAGCACAAGAGCAGAGACTGGAGGGAATGTTCCGGTCCGTGCGACGACTTTCATTCCATTCTACTCTGATTTCAATCTGATTTCAATCTGATTTCAATCTGATTTCAATCTGATTTCAATCTGATTTCAATCTGATTTCAACCTCAGAGGCGTCCATAGCGAGCTCATCACAAATTGCGAGCAGGTTGGCTTCAAGTCTCGGCTCGATCCTAAGCACAACGGCAGGTTGCGTTTCTGGGAGGAGAAGTACCCGAGAAGGACAGGCTCAACGAATCGTGAGGGAGGAGGGGAAGCGATGACGGAGGTCTGAGAGCACCCAACAGGTTTGCTCGAGTGTTGAGACATCTTTCGAAAACAACTGCGATGAACTTCAACTCGGAGATCTTGCGGCAGGTCAGAGCAAACTCAGATGCTGCTATCACAGAAAACAACTTACACCGTCATCCCCTCAACTCCCCTCTAAACTCTCACCGGCAGTACCTCAACAAATACTTCGTCACTGTCATCGGTTTGTTTCTGGTCAGCAGACCGGTGAGCAAGGCAGGGGAGGGCAGCTTGAGAGTCTTTTACGCATCTTGATGCAACAGGTGAGACTAGGTCTGAATGGAATCGACAAGTATACGCCAGACATGATAGCACAGGCAAGCAGTTGAACGTTTCGCCCTGCCCCCATCCCCAACTCCTTGCCCCTCTCGCCCCCTTTCTCCCACTCTTCCCCCCTCCCCCCTCTCCTCCCCTCCTTCTTTCTCCTCCCCCCTCCCACTCTTCCCCTCCCACTCTTTCCTGTTGCTGGTCTCCTCTTGCCCTGACTCTCCTTCCTTTGCGCGCTTGACTGTCACCTTTCAGTACTTCTCAAGCACATGGAAAAACATGGAGGCCATGTCGACGTCGATTCAGGTGGGATGGGGTGGAGCAGCAAGGCAAACGCTGCCGGGACTTTCTGATTGTACTGGTGCGCCATGACAGCTTCATTGCTTTGGGA